TGTGTCGTCTACTAGTACTATGGCTTGGCTTAGCCTTAAGGTGTGTCGTCTACTAGTACTATGGCTTGGCTTAGCCTTAAGGTGTGTCGTCTACTAGTACTATGGCTTAGCGCACACGGCACACCTTCGGTGATCATCTTGAGGCTTGTGCCTGTGTCTTATCTTCAACCGCGCATGAGCACATCAGATTGCATGTTCGTCATATCCAGTAACCATTGAATACATATCCCAGAGAACTCTTTCACGTTCGTAGTCGGTCCGCGTTCGTATCGTGAACAAATCAATGTAAGGTATTCACGAAATTTTTCTCGTTGTTGCTTATGCCACACCGTCCTTAACGTTACATATGTACACAGATGGCAACGCCAGCACAGCAGACGCCAGCAAGAGGTCTATCGGCCGCCAATGCTCCTGTTCAGGACACCCGTGCGAACACCTCACAACCAACCACACACCCTCGCCATCAATCAAAGACCCCAAGCCGTGTACCTCAGAACACACCTTGTACACCCGCAGTACCAACGCAGAAGCGCAAATCCAACTTCGGCAAGTCTCTTAGTGCGGCATTCATCACCCCGTCATTGCCACGTGCGAAGGGACCTAGCAGCTCCGCCCATGTGCCACACAATACTCCTGTCACGGTTGCCAAGGTTACCAACTTGTCAGCCACCTTACCCTTAACTGCACCCACCCCCACCAATACGGCCATCCAGAATCTAAAAATAGCACATAATGCAGCATCCGGAGCGGCTACGCCAACTGAAGGGCAATCACAAAGTGGCAGTAACGTACAACAACCCAACTCCGCCGGCGCAGACACAACTCATCGACCTCTGACAGCTGCTCGGGTGGGCAGCAACCCAGGCACTTGCAAGAATTCCCGCGTGAGCAAGAGCACGACGAAAACCGCGTCAAGCGCGCGTAAATCCGCGTCGCTGAGTGGCGCCTTTTCCTTTATGTCCCATTTGCCCGCACGATCACGCTCAGATGCTTCGATGGATGCTACACAGAGTACACCGTCTCAGGCAACGCTGGATGCTGCCACGCTGGTTCGATCGAGGTTGTCCCCTATGGAGGAGCTCTCACCTGCACGGTCACCCGCAGATGTTCAGATAGCAAGTAAGGGTATGGAGAAGAATGTGGATGTGTACGGGCATAAGCACGCAGGCAAGCATGGGTGCAAGCATGCTAGTGAGAGCAACGCGAGTAGTATAAACCAATATGTGGCGTCGAGTACAAGAGACTCACAGTCACCACCCGAAACATCGCAGTCGCAGCCATCGACAGATGTGATGTCGGACAGCAGCACGGACACAGAGCAGTACACGTACGAGCGCACAGAGACAGGCAGGCACGCGCCTCTCCACACACGTACACACTCTCATGAGAGTATCAAGGGGGTAAAGCGTACACTGCATAGCGCCAGCGGCCACAGTACAAGCGAATTACGTCCCGTTAAGAAGCAGGCTGTGCAAGCGAATAGAGCAGACGCCACGGCCGCATCGGGAAACTGTGCAATTGGTACTACCGATACTGCTGGTCAGTTAGAAAGCCCGAACGTGGGCATGTATGTCCGACCTCCCTCTACTGATAGTAGCGCCGCTCAGACACTAACTTCGTCTACCACGCATACGAACACGCACGCAGTAAGAACACGCACCCCCCGGTCACGCTCACCCGCACCTGGTGCTGCCGACGCAAGCGAACGCTCGCACAAGCCGGAAGCTAAAAATAGAAGCAAGCCTGTGCTATTGACGAAGCGGGTCAAAGCCAAGAACTTTGTGACTGAGAGTTTGCGCTCGCCAGAGATGCTGAGAACTGGACAGCTGTCTCCGACGAAAAGCATGTTGTCTCCTACGGCAACCGGTAGTGGACAATTAAGCGGGAGTAAGCACGGCTCACCCATACGCGTGCGTAGCCCGTCATCGCCTGTGCAACAGTTGGGCGACGCATTCTCAGCCACATCCATCAAGTCACGTACGAACAGCAGGGCGAGCCTACGCCAGGAATCGGTTGTGCTTAAACAAGCCCAAGACACCACGGGTAGCCGTACCGAAGGTCAAGTGTCTGCTGTGAGAAACACTCCTGCTGCACAGCACGGCACGTCAAAAAATAGAACATGTATAAACAGCACATCCACCTGCAAGTCTTACGCCTCCACCGGTATGGGTAATGCTGGGGTGACCGAGCGCAAACGCAAGCGCACGGAGACTGGCGCGCCGAACAAGTGTGCGTCGCATGCCATGCCTGTCATGAAAAAGGCCCCCTCGGTGGCCGCTTTATTTGGCGGAAAGGCCAAGGAGGATTCCCTGTATGTGGTGTTAGGTTTCTTTGTGTGTTTTTTTTAGCCGTGCTGATGTGTGCGTGTGTGTGTTTGTGCGTGTGCGCGAGTATATAGGGATGGTCATACATAGACATGCAGTAGCGTGTGCATGAATAGATTGGCATTAACGATTTAACCGGGTTTTCTAAACGTACATAAATGGGTGAAATGTACTATTTGTGCTCACGTGTAGATTCAAATTAATTTTTAGTACCGTATGTGCAACAGCGCACATCGCCTTTTTTTAAACGTATAGTCTCCTTGCTGCAAACCCTTCTTTATAAATCTGCAAGAAAAGAAAAACATGCATTTGCGAAAACTATCCATGCCACGCCCACGGCCCAGTTCTTTAAGTAAACTCCTGCACATATATTTTCTTCCTCCGTCTCATAGCAGTCCTGTGCCCACAAGCACCGCACCGAAGAAGCCTACCAGGCGTACACTAGGTGGAGTTGCTTTGAGCCTACTGGGCTCTGGGACTAAGGTAGTGTGTGCAACTTCATATGTGTCTGTGTAGGGGAGGGATATAAGAGAAGCAGACGCGTTTTTGGTAGCAAGCTATGGTATTGATGCATATAAAACGTGCGTGTGCGTTGCTCAAAGTTAGTGTTACATGCCGTCACCTGTATTGGGAGAAATATCACCGAAGCTTGGTGTCAGATGTTAATATAACAGGATGTTGCAGCAAATGAGGGTGTTTTGTACCGTTTTGAATATCGGTTGGCAGCGTTTTACTGCCATTTGCATGTGGGTATTGTGTATCCAGCCCACTGTTTGAAGCAGAGGTACATCCATCCAATGGTGGTGCTATGCGACGGACTACATGTAGACTATCGCGCCTTGGGGTCTAATATACTGAATCATCTTCGCATCTAGTAGGCACACTGCACAAACCCGTTAGACAATATGCCTATTAGTCTGAACATTACAGGGTCTTCCTATCTGAAGCATCCAAACACTGTGTGATCCTCGTATCTAATGCATCCAAACACTGTGTGATTCTCGTATCTGAAGCATCCAAACACTGTGTGATCCTCGTATCTAATGCATTCAAACACTGTGTGATCCTCGTATCTGAAGCATCCAACACTGTGTGATCCTCGTATCTAATGCATTC